TTGGGAAAACATTCACCAGTGCCCCCAAAACCAGAAAACCATTGGTTCCCCTATCCCAGAATGATATATTGGCCTCTCCCAATTACAGAACCTAGTACTGATGTATCAAAATGTTTTTTGTTATTATTTTGACTTTTGAGCAACACAATTTCAAATTAGGGGGTCTGTGTCACAATGCTGTAAAGGATTTGTGCCTGTCCACTCTCACACTAGACACAGGACAGTGCATCCAGACCAGGGGTATATGAGTTAAACAAGAAATCTGTTCAATTAAGATTACTCTGCTCCTTGAGGGCTGAAGAGCACTTGGATTTTAATCCTATATTATCTCTAAATTACTTAATTAAACAAGTCATCTGTTTAATTGATCTCAATGGAATTGTTCTGTGTCTTTAGATACTGGTGATTTCATGGTGACTTCCAAACCTTGCTGAACTGGATTGGAGATGCCTGGCCTAGACTCTGATGCTATCTCAGGTGGGCTCTGAGACACCCCAGTGTCTTCTGCCCTTCAGTCTTTCTAAGCTCCCTAGCTCTTAATTAAACTTGTAATTCAATTAATACCACATTTACCACATAAGGCCAATGGACTTACTTTCTGTTCTAAAACCTTTATAAAAAGTCAGAAATAACTTTAACGCTGCAATCTTTTAGGAGCTGCAAACAATTAATAAAGGATATAATTTGAAAATGTATTTTAATCAAAAGTTTAATGAAGTAATTGAGATCTAAACTGGACTGAAAACTGGGGAGAAACACCTCACTGTAGTGCTGAGGATTTGTAATGCTGGATGGCAAAGTGTTAAGACGTGAGAAGCTGGTTTCCTCTGTCCACGTCTGTTCATTCACAGCTGCTGGGAGGAACTAAGAGTGTCAGTGAGCTTCCTCAGACACGCCAAGAAACTACATTGTTGCACCCAGCTCTGGGACATCTGCTATAGTAACAGGAAAGGAGTCCACTGGGACTGAATCCAAGCATTGAAGTGCTGTGTCATTAACCCTCTCCAGAAATATTTCCAAACCATCTAATTCCCCAAGGGGTTCTCTTTGGTGACACAGAGATCTGGTAGGGCAATGCACTACCAGTGTGTGGAGGCTTGATCCTTTTCAGGTTTTACTAGCTGTAGGTTCCTGTAGTCTGAAAACAAATATATTTAATACTTCTTAAACTGCTCATGTGTCTTTTTTTCCAAACTCAGATTGACTCAGGCTTGGACTACCCACCACACAGTGTTGGCAAAATATACTCAAAACTACAGCTGGTAAAAGCCAGGAAGTAATCAGACTGGGAAAAAAAAACAGGGAATCTGTTTTTTCTCTTGGCTTTTGCTGGCCATTACTGATCCTGTTACTGACCCTGGAGAGAAATAGGATCTAAGGGTTTAAAAGCAACCCTGAGCATTTAATTACTGAACTGAATCAGTTGGGACCTGCTCTCTGAAATCTAACTTCGTAGGGGTTGTTAATAATGCAATGCTTAACTTTCTGGAAAGTGCTAAAATATTCCTTAACGGAGTCACAGATACTTTCATCTTTATGGCTTTTAGAAGTAATGCATTACATAGTAGGATATCTGGAAGAACCAGTTGCCCAGAATTAAAACTGCATCCTTGTAAGAACATGGTTTAGGAAGAGCAGGTCCCACTAATTGACTTAAGTATTCTGAAATGTTGTTGCCTAAGTGATCTGCCTACATAAAATTTCTGCAGCACAGAACATCTCCAGAATCAATTATAAATCTTTTGCATCCATTTTCCTTTATTTCAAGTATCAGGTGCAGTATGTTTAGGTGCTTTGTACTATGCTCATAATATCAAGAAAAATGGAAACTAATGGAGAAAGTAATGTAAATGGTCTCAAATCTACAGTTCCTGTTCTGATGTATAGACCCCTGTATATCCTTCAGCACTGGAGCTTGCTGCTTCTACACTGACAATCTACAATATAAGCCCAGCAAAAAAGCCAACATTAACATAAAAGAGGAGCAGAGCACATTGAAAACAGAGCATTGGAAACTAAAATTCACAGTAACAGCATTTGAAACACACAGAACACTCAAACCCAACAGGTGCCCATATCTAGGCTTACAATAACTTCTAGGAAATCAACAGTACAAGCAGTACGAGGTCTGAAAGCCCATCCTATTGAATGAAGAACAGCCCAGAGTGGTTTCCAGACCGTTTCCTGTTTCTACAGCAGCTTGGTGTGGTGTCAGAGTTTGCGCGATTCCTGAACCGCCCTGCCGGTCCTAGGCGAGAAAGAGTGGGACATGACTTGATGGGCGGGGGAGGAGGAAATCCTGTCCTGCAAGCTTTCGTAATTGACCCCTGAACCAGGATATCCTCCTCACACAGGTCACTTTGCCCCTCTCCCTGGCCTGACCAGCTCATGGCCGTACCCTAAGCATCTTCCTCTTTACCTCAGTCAATAAGATAACACACAAAGTGGACACACTTCTATAGTTCAGGTGGGGAGCTGCGTCAGCATGCGTAGGCTGCAAAGGAACAAGTAATAGGTTTATTCCATGCTGAAAAAAAGAAGAAGAAAGAGAACACAATGTTTCGGCCGTGGAGCCTTCTTCAGGTGACACCTGAAGAAGGCTCCACGGCCGAAACGTTGTGTTCTCTTTCTTCTTCTTTTTTTCAGCATGGAATAAACCTATTACTTGTTCCTTTGCACACTTCTATAGTGCCTGTTGAAAACACATAGGATACACTCAATTGCACTGCACACATACTGGACACACATTTAGTAAACACAATTTAGGTAACACACACTTGATAAAGAAATACTGTGCCCTGCTGTGGACAGCTCACCACACTGTTAATAATGTCAAGAGAGTGCTACTGAAGAGCTACACAAGTCGGTAAGAAAACCAACACAATGCAGGCCTTGTGTGTTTCTTGTCCTGCTAACGGTTCCCCCCATCCCCCATGCTCGCGCACAGTCTGTTTTTTAACTACTTGGCCCCTGGTTCCTCAAACTCTCCGAAGGAAGTAGCCACAGGACAAAGGAGCTCTTTAGAACAATCACTAGCAAGCCAAGAAAACCATGGAAAGAGGAAAGAAAAGGCAACCCTGTTCCTCTATTCTGAGCTGAGTGCTGCAGTTATCAAGAGCTTACGCTTCAAGATGTGCAGGTGTGTGCGTTGGCGTTGAGAACAAGGAATGGGGGGCAGAGGTTGGAGGAGGAAGATTGGGGGGGGGGGTCAGTGAGGGGTACGGGGGTTCAGAGGCCGCCTCTTCCTCCTGCTGTCACCACTCCATCCAGGAGAGAATTCCTGGAAGGGGGCAGAGACTTAGAGACAAAGGCAGGAAGGCTGACTGTGCTGGACCGGGAGGACGGTGCAAAGGACGCCCAGTGCAGCTCTCACCATGGTAAATCCCGAACACAGAACGGTGAAATACAGTCAAGTGTGGTAAAAGAAGAGGAAGGATAAGACTTAGAGTAGATTGGTCAATTCCAGTAGGACATAACAGAGTATGATGAATGGATGGTAAATGAAAGCAGATTATGGTATGGTAATATGCAGTAAGCCACAGTAAAGTGTGGAAAAGGAATTATAGAATGCAGCAACCTTGGTTTACATTTAAATGCACAATGTGCAGTAGTGATAATTTATTTGACAAACAATTGTTGCATTTTGGAGTAGTCGGGAACACTGGTACTAAATTCTACAGCAAGACACTTTACCCAGATTACCCCAGTAACCCATCTGTATAAATTAGTGCAACAAAAAGGAGGCATTTGTTCTCAAGGTTTCCTTAGGTATAAGGAACATGGACACAAGTCACAAGAGCTCTTTACATTCATTCTGCTGGGGAAATGGTCAGAATGTGTTTATTAATGAAAAGCCTGCATCTGACAATACACGTGAAACAGGAGACTACGTACCTGTCCTGAATGTGCTGCTGTCTGAGCTGGTCAAAAGCAATTTAAGTTCACACGATATGCTAAGGTGTGGTAGTGCATGGGAGAATGGGGAATGAGGAACACAGTTAAAAAAAGATATCCTTTGGGTTATGGATCTCATGCATTTCCTCAGTCACAAAAGGAACATACTTTCTACAAAGATCTGCTGATACTCTGGATCTGCTGATACGTATAAATACTTTTAAACTTATCTAAACATAAAGCAATTCAAATAAATAGTTTAGATCATTTTGGTTTGCAGATGACTTTTTCTTCCTGTTCAGAGTTCTTGATTCTAAGTACTAAAAGTTATTTTAGCATGTCTTCCCCTGTTGTGTCTCTCTTAACAGTGCTGCAGAAAACTACTTCACATTAAAGTCTCCCTTAATATGCTGAAAAATTCAACACCTTGTTTACTTGATATGGTGTGTCAGCTGAGAACAGGTAGTGTTCTAACACTGCTAGCGCTAGTTCTTTTCCAATATATAAGAGCTGTGACAGAAAGAAAAGGTCGCTGTGCTCCCCAAGTACCAGAACCCATCACCTCTTAAACCCTGGGTCTGGTACAGGGAGACAGAAAGGAGAAGACAGTAGTGTCACACAGGCAGCCAGTTGGCCCTGCTCACTCTGCACACACAGCAGCAGTTCAGCTTGCATAAAACACCTTTTATCAAGCAGGAGTACAACTGTATCAAGTGACACTAGAACAGCTTACTAACAACTAACTGCTAACACCTCTGCTTCTGAGACTTAAAGCTGCTGGAAACGGATGACTGTTGCTTAAATCTCTCGGAGCACAGGGCTGAGTCACCACAGGCATTCGGGACAGCCAGTCAGGCTCAGCACAGCAGGGTTGACACCGGGATAAATGTCACAACAGGACTGCAGTGTGGGGTGTGGGTGGGGTGTGCATCTGGGATCTTCAGGACTGCAGAAGGACAAGAGGACAGAGTGGGAGTGAGGGAATAGGAGGAAGCTGAAGAGGTAGGAAGAGGACAGAAGGAGGAAAACAAGCAACAAAGAGGGAAAAAGAGGAGTGTTGACATGACAGAGACAGAAACAAGAGGGAGGAGTGTGCCATGCTTCACCTCCATCTCTCCCGGCAGTCTGGCAGGAGTTGTACAAGCCACAGAAGGGTGTGATGGTGCTTGGAGAGATCAGCCAGGGTCAGACACAGCTCCGGCAGCTGAGGAAGAGGGGAAGGCATTTTAACCAAAGCAAACTGTCTTTTGTAGCTTTAGTTTATACCTTAGAGACTATTGCACAAATAATAGTACAAACACCAGTCTGCTTCAGTAGACTGCAGGGTGCTTATGAAGTGATTTGGCCATTTCATTCAAGTTGTCAAATCTATGCACCACGGAACAATGAAGAATTGATACACATTTAAATGGAACCATGGGGAACACATTACCATGGACTATGACAAAACACACCAGGGGGCACTAACATCGGCTCAGAATGACCACCATCTGTGTCCATTGTGGCTGGAGACTGCTGATGCTAATGTTCTCTGGTGTGTACCATAACTGTTAAATTCAAATTCAATGAGCTTTATTCAGTGAGCTTTATCAAATTCAATGACCGATGAATTACATTGTTGCCAAAGCAAAGACAATTAACAAGACATTTACAAGAGAGGTTCACTGTCTGTTTCTCAGGCTGTGACAGGAGATCACATACTAGGCTGCCACTCTATTGAGTTTCCTTCCCTCTCCCCTGGTAGGACTGATAACTGTTCTGATTCTGGCAGGTGTGGGAATATGGGGATTAGATTCATTATTTCAGAGAAGAATGTCAAATCCCAAAGTATTTCTTCCAGTACAACAGAAAGTGCATCTTTATCTCTTTTTCTTTTTGTCTATCGCATTGTGTTTCTCTTGTCCTGTTGGTATGTGTATGAAATTTCACAGTTTCACAACACATTGGTGTCATGGTATTGTTGTTTAATAAGGCACACAAATTTTAGATGTACATTCCCTGTACATACATACATACAGACAGAACTATACTAAAATAATAATTGCTAATACTGTATCAGCAGATGACCCCAGTTATATGAACATACTAATGCTGAATGTGATGTTGTTTTGTAAACTGTATTTTGTAATAATTCCTAATTATGAAACTAGTTTCTGCAAAATGCTCTTTTAATATACTAGAATGTGTTATCCTGTGCTATGTTACATGGTCAGTATGTGGAGCGCAGCCTAACTGGAGTAGTGGCCCAACGCCTTCCTTTCTGGTGCTTACCTGTGTCCTCCAGTCTCCAAGGTTATGCAGCAGTACCAATAGGAGGTGCTTGAGCTCCAAATGGGCGTGGCCGCAGAATCCTCTATCCAGCCCCACCCTCATCACCAACACCACCAATTGCATCAGACCTCGGTTGTCCAGCCAGCCAGGGTTCACTACACCACACACTGCCAAGAACTGAGACAGAGAAAGAGGGGGAATGTGGAGAGAGGAGGAGAGGGCAGAGGACAGTAGAGGGAAAAGTGAAAGAAAATGGAGAGAAAAGGGAGAAGATAGAAGGAGAAAAGAAAGGGGCAGAGGGAAAGGCAATAGAAGAAGAATGGAGGGGAAAGGGGAACATGAGGAGGAGAGGGAAGAATGATTCAGAGGGGGGGAGAAAAACAGAGGAGACAGTGTGAGAGGATAATTAGATTATTTATTTGCCATGCGTATTTACTTAACCCCTGTGCATTTGGGTGTAATTGGTTTGGCAGAGCTTGTTCCCCTGTCACGGCAATAGAGCCTCAATGGTTGAGGAGAATAAGGGGAGTCTGAGCCGAGAGGCTGAGTGTGCTGCACAGGCCTCACATTCACACTGCAGTGCCTTACTGGATCACCGAGTCTTGTCTGTCTAAGGTGCTACAGTATGTGATGCCCTTAGGTTATAAACTTAAACTGTACTGCATTGTCCCACAGAGGATCATTTTATAACTCATTTGACTATTAAATGTGGAGAGTATATTTTAATAATCTCAAAATATACACCAAATTAATATGAAATTGCTTCTAGAACTTTGGAAAATGCCCTATTTCTGGACTTATTCAATATGTTCTCCTATGCAGCATGCAGCCAAATTTTGCAGTATGCTCTGAAGCATGTCAGATTAAATTAAACATCTAGTTTATGAGCTACTTTTAAATCCTCTGCAGTGCACAGGACAGCCTGGAATATTCAGGTATCCTCACAGGGGATAACATACTGTATTTGGATTCAGACAAGCTAGTCTTCCTGCACAAAATCTTGTGTTGGAAGCTTTGTGAAGAAAATTAGGCCACTGCATCACAAACTGCAGATTCTAAAGAAGATTCTGTGCACAACTACAATTCCCACTCCGATAAGAAGAATTCTTTCCACTTCCATTTCCACTGAGTGATGCCATCTTGTGTAAGAACAGCTGGAATATAAACCTTAGGAAGTGCAAATTCCATTTTAAAAGCTGTGTAAAAAGTTTGCACTTCCAACTTTCTATATAGAAAATCTCTGAATGTTTTGAATCAGATCAATTTGATCAGATGAATATACCATACTAAATGTATTACAATTATGCATGCAAAACTTGGATTTTAGCTCAGTCTTAGTCTGTGAAGTCATTCTCCAGGTCATATTCACTGAAAACAAGTGCCAGTTCAGGGCTGATGTCCAGATCAACTATAGCAGTTTGAACTCTGATGCTCCCGAAACACTGCAGTAATCAGCAGTCCTAATTCCAGTGGCTTTACCACCCTAAATCTCTGCCCTGAGTGTTCTGTCCCATCAGCTTCTATCCCTGCGGTGTGCTAGGGGTCCAGGCACACTCTTGTAATTGCAGTTGATTTTCACACAGCCTCACAGTCAGGGATGGGGACCGTGAGACTGATCACGCAATCATCATTGCGGGAGGCAGTCACCTTGCTGCACCCCAAGGTGAGAGTGCGTGCAGTCTGTGCCGTTTCTCCCAGACTCTCTGGGTTAAACTCCCTTGAAGCTAAGTTCTTTATTCAGTTAAATGTGCTTTATGCATCCACCATCAGGTCATGCTTACAAAAGAAAGAACTATGATAACTATGGGACCTTTAAGATCATATGTTTCAGTGCAGAGTCGGGGTTGTATTTCCAAATGAATTAGTCCAAGACTAAAAACCTGACCTGTTCACCAGTGATGTCAGCTCTGCACATTGGCCAGATACAAAGACTACCTAGTGATCTTCTTGTTGCATTCCAAAATGGCAGCTCTTCTGAAGTCAGGAAAAAGCAAATTGAGTTTTTCTGCAGATTCCCTCTGACTGTGGGAGATCAAAGTCAGAGAAAGATGAATGTTCTATCAAAGCTTAGCAGATATGCCCTGTGAAACAGTTTACTGTTGTATACCATCTTCAAAATGGAGTAAAGTATAGTCAAGCATAGTAGTAAAAACACGGTCAGACACAGAGAAAGGCTAGGAGCCATGAGAAATCGTGGCAAAGCAATGTAAATTCATGGTAAATCCATTGGAAACCTGTAAAAATACCAGGAGATGTGTACTGATTAGGTCAATTTTCATAGGCAAACTGAGGCTGGACCATACTGGCCCTGCACATACAGGGTATACCTGGTATACAGCTTTCTGCTATACAGTACCTGCCAGAATCAGTCCTAGGTTTACCCAAAACTCAAGGAAACTGAAGTAAAGCTGACAGATGTAATGCTTCCTTCTGAGATTCACATTCTTTGTACTAGAAGTGTCTCTAAAGCTGTTTTTGGTATCGGGGGTACTGTGGCTTTGACCCAATTCAATAAAGCAAAATAGTTGAAAAGATCTCCATAGTTTCATCATATTAAAGAAAAGAAAAGAAGCAGTCAAAGAGAAGTTGGATTTCCTGTCTTCAATTATGAGATATGCAGGTGTAGCTGCCATCTTGCTCATTACAAGGCATCAGTTTTCCAGTCAAATTGCAGGAAATGTGTTTGAGCAGAGAGCTATGATCATGTTTCTGAGATAGGAGGACAAAAAGTCTGCAAACACAAAATGATTAACTGTGTGCAAGGTAAGAGCAACCCTGTCCAAAGTAAATGTGTGGGCAAGGAACTTTAGAGAGGGAAAATCAGTAGTTATTAAGTCTCCGGGGTCTGAGAGGCAGAAACTACAGCCATGAAGGCATCAGCCACTGGGCAGGGTGACCTGACCAGCAAACAACAGACACCAGCCATTCCAGGCAGATCAAGCAAACATGAATTATATAATACAATGAATTAAACATTGATTATATCTTTTCAACAGAGAAGATTGATAGTCTCAAGGTCACTTCCAGCTTCCTGCAAGCATACCCTGATAGCTAACTCAATCGTTTCTTTCTTATTTCTCTTTTCTCTCTTCCCCTTATCTCTCTTTGTCTCTCACGTCCTCTCTCTCTGACTCCATCTCTAAATCTCAGCCTCTGACTCATCTCTCAATCTCATCCTCTCTGACTCCATCCCTTTCTGCATCTCACACTCTCAATTTCTCACCTTTTCTAAAATTCAATCTCTTTTCACACTCTGACTCACTGAAATTCTCTGACTCTCCCTGACTCCCTCTCTAAACTTCACCCTCTCTCTCTAACTCAGTTTCTAGAACTCGCCCTCTCTCTCTAACTACCTCTCTAAATCTCACCCCTTCTCTCTGACTCTCTAAATCTCACCCTCTCTGACTCCCTCTGTGCTTCTCACACTCTGATTCTCCCGCTCTCGTGTCAGAGGATGGACTTGCATCCGCTGCCATTTCCTGCCTAGTCTTATTTTAACTCCTGTAAAGCTCTGTGGAGGAAACAGGGACAGCTGAGCTGGGCTGTGTGCCCTGTGTGCTCCCAGAATGGGGGGGGTTGGGGGGGTACTGCCCATCCAAGAAAAGGCTGCTGCACAGAGCCAGCTCCAGGAAACTGCTCAACATGAGAACCAGTCAGCTGGGGATGCTTCAAAGGCCTTGTGTTTTCTAAGGATTGAAAACACTCATTCATACACATTCAGTTTATCCTTGGTTTTGCACTGAATGTTTTCCTGGAGGTTAACAGCACTGTTCAGACTCAGTAAACACTTCAAAGGCAACACCCCTGGGAAAGGAAAAGGGATGATTGATACTTCCAACCCTTCTTGTAACCAGTCCCAGGGTTGCCCGTGTCAGTCTCCTACCTTGAACACATTGGTCAAGTTGACCTCAGGCAGCCTGTAGGGTCCATCGCCTTGTGCGCCATCTTTATGTGTCCCTTGGGAACCAGAGTTAAGACTGAAGGGTTGAGAAGGGGACCTGGGAAATAGATGAAGAAGAGAATGATAAATTAAAGAGGGAAAATAAATTATATGGGTGTGTGTTATATGCCAGTCTCTCCCCAAATTAGCCCATACGTGAAACATTCTTAAAATTAAATTTTCACAAAAAAATAAAAAAAAGGTCAAGAGACAGGACTCTAAATTGAAAACTATTAAAATACATATTTACAGTTATCAGAAAATATATATTTTCCTACTGATTATGAAACAGAGTCCCATGGCATGTCGAAGAAGTAGAGATGCTGGGATCTTTAAAAATGAAACATGATGCTTGAATCTCTTACTGTAGAGGAAAAGTGACGAGCACTGAAGGTTTAACATTATATTCATTAACATGATCATATTTCTGTGGTTGCTATGGCTCCTTTAAAGCTTACTATTGGAGCCTGGAAGAAAAACAACTTAATATGGATTGTGAGGTGTTTGCATGTGTTCACAGAGTGAAGGTCCACCCACATGATCAGACCTGGCTGGGAGTTTTTTTCACTGCACACAGGGGGAATCACTTACCATACACTGTCCCGTCTGTTTACATTAGTACTGGAGAACCCGGACACACAATGAACACACTATCACTATCTCCATGCACTACTGTTCATTGGGAAAAAAAGTTCCCCGTGGCAATAGAGCAGAAGAGGAAAAGGGGGGATGTTTGTAACCTTTTACACCGTGATGAGGCCTGTTCCTCATTTTCTGAAATTAACTAAAAATGCTGAAGTGCAGATCTAGCAAAAGAAGATGCAGGAATTGAACAGACTAGCAAATTGAAAAGCCTGTGCACTTCAACTAAAAATTGGAAACTGTAGTTTTCATAAGAGATACAAAGAATGGGGCCATTTTTCTAAACCCCAAAAGGTCATTTCATTGGCTTTCATGAGTCCTTTTTTGTGGAGGTGGGGAATTCTTAAAAGTTACAGTTAAGCTCAGCGGTGATGTTGTAATTTTGCAGGAAACAAGAAATCATTGTGCATCAGAACGAAGAGAGTCAAACTGATTTAACCTCATGGCTTTGCTTAATTATTGGATGGAATGGGCGCCAGGGCTCTTCCAGCTGCCCTGCCAGTCTCTCTCTGCCCCCTCCCTCAGCCCAAACACACTCAAGAGCCAAAAAACCTAATGGCCAGACCTCCATCCCAGCTCAGCACACTAGAGACCAGGGGAAAGTAAACCTCCAGTAATTCAGCAGCACTCACACGGCTAATCCAGTCTCGTTCTGCTCCAGGTGAAATCGAATCTCATCCATCTGTGCCAGGAGTCACTTAACATCTGAGCTGTCCGACTGGCTGACCCATGCACGATGGAAGTGTGAAGCAGCGGTTGAAAGATGGAGCCCCAGGAAATTGCAGCTGTTGTGAGAAGTTGTGACCTGGCTTTCTCTATTTTTTTCATGGCGGGGAGCTGCAGTTTGTTAACTCAGCTGTTTTACAGCTACTGTATGCCTGGCTCTTTGACACATGGAGACACTGACAAAGCCACTAAACACAGACACGCTACAGAACACAAGAAAGTTTGCAAACAAGCAGACACTCAGCACATCTTTCTTATTCAGATGCTCAGTTGCTAATTGATCCTAGAGCTTCTCCCAGAGGTTTCTTGAGGGATTCAATACAGCTGAACAATTTACTCCAAACATCCTGTGATTATTTTGTAGAACAAACTGTTTAATTGCCAAGTCTAAAGGAGCCTGCTGAATCCATTGTCAAAATCTGATGCAAATCGGTATGCGTTTTCTTGTGTTCAAGACTAGAGATTCTGTTTTTTTATGCCAGCTGTACGTGATTAAAAGTTATTGGGAGACTTGGTAGGTTTTGTGTCATTCTTCTTTGAATTGTTTCCAGGGCAGCAATATCCTTTTTGCCATGTAGTGCCCTTAATCACAAACCTGTGCTTTGGATCCTGGCCAATTTCTCCTTACCAAAATACACATCTTAATTGCAAATTTGTAAGTGCCCGCAAAAGCAATAAAAATGAAGACACTAGCTATGGCTACTTCAGAGCTCTCAGAGCTTGTCAGTAAGGTTTGAAAAAAGAACACCTTCATTTCTTAGAACTGACCTTGAGGAGGCTAATTTCAAGAGAGTAGGTGACATATGCTAAATTGGATCTTGCTGGAGCATTGTATAATTTAAATATTACTTTTCTTCCATTTTCATTTTACTCTCACGCACAGGCAGTTCAACACACTCTGCTTTCTGGCTGTGCTACTTTTTACAACAACAGCATGTCACTCCTCCAGTCTTGCAAGTTTGTATAGTCCTTATTACAGGTTTAACTAGAGGTGAATTCAAAACAAAAAAGAATAGCAAATAACAAATTAGCAGCTGGACCTACATCTGAAAGGATAAAAAAAGAAAACAGGCAGGGATTGCTCATCAATGAAATTTTTAATTATGGGCTTTTTAAATTGGTGATACGTTTTCCATGGAGACAGAGAGAGGAGGGGGGGAATGGGAGAGACATGCAGATGGTGTCTTCAGTCATTTGTCTCTCTATCCTATATCTCTGTCCTAGATCTGCAAGGTCCCAAACTGATACAGATGTAGCCAGACACAGCTCGTTAGAACCAAGCAATAAAAAACACAGGCTTCAGTCACTGTCACATGGCTGACTGAGTTCCATCTGAATACCAAAGGGAACACATTAGAGCATTTTTGTCTAAGTTACCTCCCAAGCCTAACCCTGACTCTGATTGGAATTACTACACAACCCCCAACTCTGACTCTTATCCCAACCCTAACCCTACTGCTGTCTTCAAACATTACATTAATCCTGACTTCAAGCCTGATCTTCCCTCTGATCCAGGCCTTGACCCTAACCCTACTCCTGACTTCAAACCTAATCTTCCATCTGACCCAGGCCTTGACCCTAACCCTACTCCTGACGTCAACTCTAATCTTCCCTCTGACCCAGGCCTTGATCCTAACCCTACTCCTGACTTCAAGCCTAATCTTCCCTCTGATCCAGACCTTGACCCAACCCTACTCCTAACTTCAACCCTAATCTTCCGTCTGACCCAGGCCTTGATCCTGACCCTAATCCTGACACTAACTTTACGTCTAACTTTTAAAGTTTACCCTAACCTTGATCAGCCCAACCTCTAAAATTTAACATGAAAACTCAGAGCGTGTGCATAATATTTACAGTTTATTATTTTATTCAGGTGTAATTCATAATAAATTGTCATCAGCTTTTAAAAAGCAGTAAATGACTCATGACTGTTGGCTGAGTGCAAGGTCCGTGCACACAGTTTAATATCTGTGCACCAGCTGTTCAAACCTGACCACCATCCTAAAACAAACTGTCTGCAGCACAGCAGCTCAGGATCGGCCAGAGTCAGGGCAGTGTGTGGTCATTTCTCTAAAGAAGGGGGCTGATGAAATGAGATACCCCCTAAAGATTACAGCAGTTCTAAGGATTATTTATACGCATTTAATTGGGTAATTCTCTAAATGTTTACAGTAAAGTGAATGAAGAAAATATACATTTCAGTTTTGACTGGTGGAATTTTATATCCAGTGTTACATTGCTAAAATATTGTGTTCTAAATCACAAAAATTACCAAAAATCTTGAAAGCTGAAAACACTTCAGTATGACAGTTTACATCTCTTTTCTACTCAGGCCTGTTTTTAGATAGAGCGACTGACGGACCTTACAGAACATCCAAATTTGTCCAGGCCAGAGCAGAAATAGCATCTCCTCCCACGTCTACTGTCTCTAAGTGGCAAAGGACTTGATGATAGTTCTTGAGGCAGGCACAATTGTAGATGTATAAACCTTTCAAAATACTGGAACTAAAAAATGCACTATACCGTAGACAGGACACAGGATAAACTGTAAGCAGGCATTATTAATGACAACATTTTTCATTGGGTAGCCACCAGACCTTTAATGTCATAGGCTGACACCGATGGTATATCTCACTGGAGATCTGGCCTTTCTTATTAATCTACATTTCAAGGAGGCCACAAGACCTCTGTGCAGGTAGGGTAGAGTATAAGTGGGACAATAGCATATATCAGAGCCTCAGTATCAACTACATGCACAGGTCAGAGCCAGGCCAAACAACAGGTAGTGGGCTGGTACTGCATCAAGATGCCCTGCCTCAGATTTACCACACTCCCACCATCTCTTTGCAGTAAACATCCACACCGGAAAGAAAATAATGATAAAGAAAATCCTCTGCAAAACAATGGAAGATAAACAGAGTAGATCAAAAGTCTCTCTCTGGGGAAAGAGTGACGCCCATAAATGCCCAGTGGACAGAAAGAGAAATAAAGACAACAGGCGTGGGAGAGAGAGAAGCTCTCTTGGCTCAGAATCACAGTTCAAGAACCAACAAAACACAAGAATGTTAAAATAATCAAACATTTATGGAAACATTACCTTTTAAAACAAAACTGTATTAAAATAAAATTTTAATCTAGAATATCTTCTTGTGTCTCCTGGAGTCTATTAAATAGATTCTGCCCTCTGCTCCTAAAACACACATATACACTCAGACAAAAAAAAAGTCCAAATCCATCTAAAATCCTCAAAATATTCCATGGGGAACATCCTGCAGGATTCCTTTTAACAGAAAAACATAGGAATCCTGACGAAGTCCTGCAAGATTCTGGTCCCAAAAACGTCTAGGTTTTTGTTTTGTATGGGCACCAACACACACGCTAAAGCACTTAAACGGTAGAGCGCTGGAGCACTGCGTGATTAAACAAGGGCTCCAAGGACTGCCCTCTGCATGCTGGCTGCTTGTCTGCTACTGTATCTGTCAGGAACCAGAGCAACGGAATGGCGTTTTAAGTACGAGGAACAAGCCTAATGGAGCAAACACAACCTGCCTTCCTTGGGATATCTCTTCTCCCTCTC